TTAAAATTGTTATTAATTAGTAAATGATTGTATAAATATCAGCCAGCACAAATGAAATTGTTGAAAAAAGATGTGTATATTGAAGTTTAAGTTGGTATCATTTGAACAAAAAAAGAGGTTGAAATAAAGAAGTAACTTGTGCTTGATTATGAAAAGGGAAAATAACATCCTCAATCTTGAATGACGTTCATTACATCTAAGTTCATTTGATGAATAAATACTTTTACTTCACTTCACTTCAATTAATAGTCAAATTTCTTGGTAATTGCAACTCATACCTTTCGTTTTCTTTCCATTCGGTAATGTCGGCGTCCCTTCGTTCACCTGGTGTTGCAACTGCGGAGATGAACTTTCACATTCACCTCCCATCACACCTTCTTCTGCTGATGACTAAAGGAGAGTAAGAAACATTATAGTTTAAGGTAAAATGATATGATATGATATGGTGCAAATTAACTCCATTCATGATATAAACTCTTGTCATGGTCATTTCTAGGAAGTATTAAAAAGCTGATCGACCGCCTTCTCAGACACGGCAGTTCATCTTTCCTTCATTTATCGCTACTACTCATTCTCGTACCTTTATATCATTGGCATTTTAAAACGATTTTTAATGATTTTTTTAATCCTCTATTTTTCTCCATAGATGATGCTTGCTATTTCTAGGTACTGAAGTAATTAATTTACTGGTAAAAATTTTCAATGTTCTAAAAATACACAGCAACAAAATTAGAATCACTAGTGGAATCGCTAATAGCTAACTCATGCAAGTACAACCAATATAATTAAGAGTATTTCGCAGAAAGTTAAAAGAAATCTCGATTGCGCTTCGTATGGGTTAAGCAATTTAAAGCATAAATTTCAGGTTTATAAATCAAAAAGTATGATTTAAAAATATAATTCTTGGAACTCTTAATATGATATGATTACAGATAAATATGAACAAAAGTAAAATAACAGGTGTAGATATCTATCAATTACATTGAAAACAAAGTGATAACAAAAGTGCTAAACCATTTTTGTAATATTAAAAAATGAAATATAATTAACTCACACTACTGCATTCATCGTTAGAATGACAGGAAAAGTAATTTTGTGTAGGGTTAGAAGATATCTATTTTCCCTTTCATTTGAGCAGAAGATATTCATCGTATCAATAATAAAATTATGAACTAGACATTGAGGAAAAGATGATAAATTACTCTCACTCACTCTTTGTACGATGCAGCTTAAAAAACTACCAGAGAACCTATCTCCGAGACATACATTTTCCAGAAATTAAGAAACAACACATGAGATTGCAACATGCAAAAATTTACCATCCTTTAGTGACCACTTGATATGTTACTATACTGCTTGGAATATCACGTCGTTTTTGCGTTACTGATTAATTTGTTTTAGTGAGAGGGTGATTATTGTCATAAAAATTTTTTGATTATAATGATAACTGTCTAATGATTGGCAACAATCATTTATATAGAAAATCATAGACTGGTATAAGATGCGGGATTTAGAAAATATTTTTTAAAGATTTCATAAATCAACTGTTGCACTTGTGAATCACGAACTTGGCGATCTAATGAAGCAAAAATTTTGAAAAAGTTAGAAACAACTTGTCATAAGAATTATGTTCAAAGGACAGTTGATAAAAGCATAGTTTTGAGACTTTTCATCACACTTATTCATAAATGTAGTAAAAATAAACATAAAAACAGCATCGAGATGTCTCGTAATCATGGGATTAACATTTTGTTGTTTCATTTCATTACATTAATTTGCTTCATTTCTTTATCTATATTTAAGTACTAATGCTATCATTACATAATTCTGTACATACCTATAACAATGAGATTTTAGCAAAAATGATAGAACACCTGTACAGTATGCAGAGATTCATCTAACTTCACGTATAAAGATATCATGGAATAATTCAGGCCAAAAACAATTTGTATGGGAAAAGTAAAATAATACACATGGTTGGAGACAAGTTTCGTTATCCAAATAAGAAACCTCATCTTAGAGACCTCCATTTTTATCACCTCCATCATCACCATTATCACCAATATCAATATCACCACTATCATCATCATTATTATTATTATTACCATCATCATCATTTTCTTCTTCAACATTAATCAGCAATGAATTTGCGATTGTAATTAATTTGGATTTATTTATACACCAAATGCACAAACAGACATAATTTTCTTCCTTCCCATAATAATATCCCAAAATAATATTATACCCCGTCTTTCTTTCTTTTACCCTTTCTCCCTCTCTTCTCTCTCTTCACTTCTGTTCATCCCTTTTCCATACATTTTGGAAACATTAATTTTTTGGAAGGAATGTTTCTCGCTACACTTATGTTGTTGCCATTGCTCCATCTTCTTCTGTTTTAAACTGACATCATCATTATTGCATGCAAATAACTTGTTTCCAAGGGATGACCTAGAATTCCTTTTTATTACCAAAAATGAGCCAACTTAGATGCGAACGAAATTATTATTCAATAACTATCATTGAAAAAAAAAAAATCGATATTAACAAACTATCATTAAACTTTTTGAGAATCAAATTGTTAGCTTCAGCATCACTTTTCTGAAATTGACGTAATTATAACAGGCGCTATGTCTTTTGAACAAAATGATTATATCAGGTAAGTACAGTGACATATTTGCTATGAATAATCAGAATTACTAGAGTGGAAGCAGTGGAAACAACGAGGAAAATAGAAACTAATAGCAATGTAGATTTAACTTTGTGAATAAATTTCTCATTGAAAAATATTCTGAAATTGAGAAATTTTTCAAATTGAAAAATACTTTTGTAAAAATAGACGAAACCGAATTGAATTAATTTTGGAAGCAGAAAATTTGAGAACTGCGATGTCTAAGCAAAGTGTAATGCTAATCCCGCTGAAGCAAGCGCTAATTCCACGAAAGCCTCAAATACGACGAAAATTCGTACATACAAAATTTGTCGTGGAATACAGTTAAAAAAATAAAATTATTTTGATCAGTAACTATTTATAATGTTATGGAAACACTGAAATTAAACATAACTTTATGTAAATCAATTTGAATTGTCTATCGCTTCAAAAACTCGTCCAATGAGAGAGAAAATCATCGCGACGAAGATGTATGTTAAAAAATAAATTTTTTCTTTTAATGGTGGACATTCCCAGACAAAGTTAAAAAATGACTGACGACAGATATTTGCTGGATGGAAACTATGCAACAAAAAGTCGGACTTCAAAATTTTTTTTTCTTTGTAATCATTAAAAATGGAGCAAATCTTTAATGAATTTTAAAAAAAAGAAAAAAATATGAAATAACGATGAAGAATTACGGCTGAAGCATAAAGATTGCTAGAAAAATAAAATTTGATAAATTTAATAATTTTCAAAGCTTCATATTGACTATTTAAGTTTACACTTCCCAAAAAGCTTCTAAACTACCTTATACTGTCAAGGCAAAACGGATACACCCACTTTAAGCAAAATGGAAAGAAATTAGCATTTTTTAGGATAGGCTGAATAAATGGCGTCTCTGAACATTTTTAGTTTTTTTTCAACTTATGGTTCTATCATTATATTATCATATCACAAGGGTGCAGTGCCTTTTTTTACACATTTTTTTCCAGTTATTTCAGTTTTTTGCTCATTCTTTCATTCTATGCGTGAATAATTTACAAACTAAACAAGATATTAAAGAAATTATATGTCGTTGAAAGTTTCTATTTAATGCCTAATCTGGAGGAAACTACTATTGTTCCATTCTTGGTTGGGTATTTTCAAGCTTGATTACTTACAGTTATGAGGAGATGCTAACAGAAAACAATTTTTTCCCCTTTGTATCTCTCTGTTCCACTCGTGAATCATCAAAGTTTATGATAAATTTCTTACATAAATGGAATTTAATCTAAACAGATGTATGGTACTGCTGTTATTTTATACCTTGAAATTCACTGCTGCCACTGCAAATTTTCTTATTTAACTCTTCATCGCACATTTTTAAAAATTTCTGCATAAGCAGCAATAAATATTTTTGCATGCTTTTATCAACTAGAAAAGATAAAAATATCTATCAATGGTTGTTCATTCTTCCCAATTAAAGTTAGCTTCTCATATCAAAATGGGATTTTTTGATTTCACTCCAAATTGAAAATAAAATTGATGGTTCACAAAGCTGTAATTTAAATGATACATTACAAATTAGAGATAATACGTTTGAATGCATAGCCTGATTCTGAAACTTTTCATCCATTTATAGTATCATCCCGAAAAAAGAATAAAATTCTTGGAACGATTGCTTCTACTAATCACCAGTTCTAGAGCATTGAAGAATCTAGTCGATTAGAATTTTTACTACAACTTACTCGTCATAACCAATTTTTTGTTTGTCTATTACTTAACCTGATATAATGACCAAATCTGTATTGATTTTATTTTTTTTGTTGTCGAAAAATGTAATCAGCATGAACTTGATTTGTAATTCCAAAAATTCCAGCTAATTTGTAGAAAATATTCAGTTAAAAGGTATATCACATGAATATTTAGTACAAATAATTAATTATGGTAATGAATAATGCGTTAAATTGAATAGTCAGTCTATGTTAATGATCTGTTATTAATTATTAGTCTTGAAAAAATGCCGCCTCAAATGCTAGAATGAAATTTAGAATTCTTCCCGGAAATCTGATAACCACAAACTCCTGATGCTACTTCGATGGAAATTGTTCATTATAGTTTCCGCTCATTCTATGCTTCCCGAAGCTAATATCTCGTCAATACGATTTCACCTTCTTTCCGTAATCTTATTATCGTTAAGTTAATAGCATCTATGGGATTTTCATATTTCTTATCTTATTATAAATTCTTATCTCAGTTGGCAGTTTTAGAATAATCAAACAAAAGAGACAGCTGGCTGAAATCAAATTTAAGAATTATTCATGAAATAAACACTTTGAAAAACGCATTGATGAAGTGATAAAGGAAAGAAATGACATACCGTTTCCTTGGGTGTTAGGAGCAGCGATTGACATGGTGAATTAGATCCAGGATTAGTAAAATTCAAATTGAAACACGTCTCACCGGGGACCATGCTCATAGTCAGCAACAGATATATTATATCCTGTCAGTACCAATCAATGTATCAGTTATTTCTTACTTAAATAAACTATCTTTGATATAAGTTTAGTTTGAAAAATGGCGTGCAGTATAACTCGGAAAGAGTAAGAACTTGGAAATGATGTTGAGGAGGTGGGGAAGAAGAAGAGACAGAGAATCTGGGACACAAGAAGAGTTAGCAGGATTTGCAAGCTAGGCAAAATGAAGTGAAAGAAATGCTTTTTCAGAAAACGCTTGCTGCTTGCTCTTTTGATGAATATTGCTAGCTGTCCAGATTTAGACAAGATAGCACTTCACAGCTCTCGAACTTGACTAGTCTTCAAGGTGCGCCCCGAACAGGCAGCAGCAGTAGCAGCAGATAGTGGCAGATTTGAAAATGATTTTGAGAATTGTATGTATATTGAGAAGAAGATATATAAGTTCGAGCTGATGTTACATACCTCTTTCTTTAGCCAGCAACGTACTTGGTAAAGCCGCTCAACAAGTACAGAGAGAAAAGGAGCAAAGAGAGTTTAGGAGAGAGGGTGGAACATTTCTTAATTTTCCAACTTCCTCCGCCTCCTCCTCCTCCTCCTCCAGTTCAAGCCATATTCAAGTTAACAGCGCCCGCTGCAGTTGAAGCAGTAGCAACTATAAGAGGGTAGAGGGAACAAGAACTACTGACTAAACTAACTTTTGACTACTGTCGTCATCAACGCCAAGCACAAACACAAGCATACACAAGCACACACACACACACACACACACACATACACACACACACACACACACACACATACACATACAAACAGAAGGTTCAGTTGTAGAGTTGAAGATGCCTACGCAATTTTACATTCAACTAAAACTGGAGAGGGGATAGAGGATATGGCAAAGAGATGGATTTACTGTTACAGCTCGGTCATTGAGCCCTTTTTGGCTTCTACTTACTTTTGCATTTCAAATCATAATTTTTAACATGAAGATTTATGCATCATAAATCGATTTTCACACAGTGACAATTTGGCTATGTCACGTCACGAGATACTTTTGCCATTGAAAAATCCAAGTAATCCAAGAAGATACGATACAGTTCAGTGGCTAAATCAGTAAAGAATTGAGCAATGCAAATCATTTTTATTTTGACTAAGTGGTTTCGCAAATGACAAACTTATCCCGAGTCACTTCGTTATGTCAGCCCACTAACATTTCTTGTTAAAAAGATCATCAGTAAGTGTCGTATTTGTACAACAGGACTTTTCTACTTTTGTTTTTTCTAATTGCAAAATGAAACATTCGGGACATTTTTCTCTATGGTTTACTAATTTTCCTTGTTGCTTCCTTCCAAAAAATAATCATCAATGATCTTTCGGTTGAAATGAAATTGACCAAATGTTTTTGAATATTGTACGACTTCAATTTAAGTATTATAGAAAAATCAAAATTAAATTTCGATATTTTCGAAAAGATAAATTGAGATTGAAGTTGGAATTGAAATTAAAATTAATTTGGAAGATAAAAAACAAAGATAGAATATATTAACATAAAGAAACTGCACTGCCTTCTACCGAAAATATATTTATAGGTTGAAATGAAAAATTAGACAGAAAGCGTACAGAGGTTGAAGTATCAATGATGATGGATTGAGCGTTCGAGAATTCCAAAATGGGATTGGCTAGTGGTGGTGAGAGTTATGATAATGACGGGAACGATGACGATCTGTGGTATTTGTTTATATTTGGGAGAAAAAAATGATCATGAATTCAGTAAAAGGCCATTTTTATCAATGCAGAGGATGCACATTCCATTTCGTCCCGCCACTATTGCGCAGTGAAAAGTATTTGTTGTTCCGTTTTGGTACCCTTCGTGCGACATCATATCACTCTGCTAAATCATCATTTCAAAGCTTCTTTCTTTTCTTGCCAGATTAGCGTTTGTATACAGAGTGAATCTACATCGTACAATTATGGGAATTATTTAGAGACAAAGATCAATTTCAGTTTTTGGTAGAATCACTCTGCTCAGTATTCTACGTGGTGATGCATGATAATCACTAAAGCCGTTTAATCGTATGGCGCTTTTCAATGTAGCACTGCCGATTCTTGGACAATAATGGATATAACTATAGTCAAGGTAATCTGTGCAATATACAAAAGGCAGTAAACCTTAATTATTTAATGGTTAATTGTACTTTAATTACATATTTTTTGGTTATATAACATTGTACTTTATACAATTCAAGACAGTAAAATCCGGCTACTCCTCTTCATGTTTCTACAAAACTGATAGCAGATCAACTAACTAAGATCCCTTTGAAATTTCTGATTTACCGAAAAAGAAATATATGTACCAAATTCCCATTTATCAGACCGACTATCTTTTGATATAGGAATACATAATGTATCATGTTTTGTCTGAGCGAAAATGGATTTTTACATAAATGTGCGTGGTTTGTCCGTTTAAAAGTACTGAACATGCTTTGCTAGCATGATATGGACATGTGACGTACGAGAATGATTTACACTTTTGACATCGCTTTCACTGATAAAATTAACCGAAACCTTAAACTTTATAATTCTTACCATTCTGAAAATACTGGGAAGTATGTTCCTGATCCATCGGGAGGATATAGAGGATTAGAAAATATTTAGCAAATATTTCGCAAAAGTTTAATATCTTTAATTGTCCACGGTACTTTCTGCATTACATCACTGCATCGTCCCAAAAAAAAAAAAAAAAAAGAAAGAAATCGAAATATTAGATGTGAAATTAAACTCTTTAGTTTCGGCCGTTAATTTTCTCAAGTAATGCCAACCAATGTTTGCAACAAAGGCCATGACTGAAATGATTTTCTGTTTTCTCCTGAAAATCAGGAGAGAATTTAATGATGTAGTTATTGAAGATCTTAGAATTTACAGCTTCTGCATATCCCATATCAAAACCTCAAACACTGACCTTACGAAGCTAAACGCAATTTGGCAAGTCCATATCTTATACAAGAAATGTTCCCAATGAGGACGAAACACATGGAAGGAAACACTTTCCCATGCATATTACGAGGTGACATATACTAAAATTATAATTAAAAAAGAGTTGTGGTGCCGTTACAACTTTATTGTTTATGGCCAAATTATGGTGAAGGATGAAAAACAGCATGTAATATGCAGCAGATGTACTGACCTTGCACTCACTCATCAACAAAATTTTACCCGGACATAGCAGACGTGCTACTGAGGGAATTGATTTGAAAAATTCAATTTAGGAAGAATTTCAGACTTTCCTTTCCCCGTTCCAAATGTGCATGATCAAGTCCATTCTCTGCTCATCTAGAAAATTCTCGACCTATTCTGCAGAAATTATCAGTCAATTCGTCCGGTAAAAACTTAGATCAGCAAAGGGTTTTAAGATTTGATGTGTTTTGTATAGCAACGAAGAAAGTCTAAAAATAATTTATTTTTGAAATTTATCATGAATCAAATACAAATACATATGACGATCCGCAATTACTGAAACATTTCTCGTGAGTTTGCATATTTGAATTTGCGTCCATTTACTTCCTTGACCAATATCTGACTTTTAGCTTGCTGACTGAACAGAACTACCTGAGCTCTCTATATTTGGCCTCAATTCGATTATTTCTTTAAAGATTTTTGATTTGTAGTTTCAACTATTGAAACTCTAAAACTGTTTGGTGAGCTAATCCGGCCACTGAAACCATTTCTTGTAACGCTCACATGTAAACCATCCGAAGAATGCACGTTGCTGTAAGTTTTCTTATACATTTCATTGCCGCCTTCACTTTCCTCCACCAAACCCATGAGCTTCATATTTACAGTCCTCTCCAGCACACCATTTTTTCTTGATCCCCATTTCGGATCACCAACTTTTTGTAGTTTTTGCAGCAAGTTTGTTCTTTTTGTCCATTTCTTGGAGTCTTGAAAGCTCATACTATTTGCGAAAATTGTTTCTGAACTAGTTCCACGTCTCATCGGCTTTTCCTTGACACTTTCCTCAGCACAAATAATTTTAACCGTCCCAGCTTCATTGTAGGGATCTGCCTTCGAAATATCCATTTGAGAACTATTTTCGCTAGCAAACAATGCCGAATCGGCATCAGCTAATAACAATGTCTTTCTTTCACTTGCTAATGAACACACTACTTCCTCATCATCAATAACGTGTTTTCCCTCGAATTTCTTGATATTTTCATAGAAATCATTATTTTCAAATGAAATAAAGGCGAAACCCTTGTGCAGGCCCGTCCTCAAATCCTGAAAGTAACATCCACAAACTTGACTTTTATAATGAACACTTTAAAACTCATTATACAATAATATATTAACCATCAAGTTTGGCAAACAATCCTTTGATTCCGGGCAGAACATCACTTGGTCATATCTGATACAGTGAAACAGCAAGTGATGTGACAAAGAATTAAATGAAAGTAAGAATAACAAGCGTTATATTAAAAGAAAAAAACCTACAAATTGCAGCGTGATGTTTCTGACTTTGCCGAACTGAGAGAAATGGTTTGTCAGTTCCGCTAAAACAGAAAAATCTGAGGGTGTTAAATGACTTGGTCATTTTTTCACCTTATTCTCAGAAAAAAATTTTTCGAAGCATTATAGGGCAAAGATGTCCAGTAGAAAGCATGCATAAATAATAAAATTGTATTTAACAAATCTGTAGTGATCACTTACATGCGCCTGTAACCCAGCTGATTCTTTTAACAAAAAGTTCCGCATCATTCCGCCAACCCCCTTTAAAAGTTTTAGAAACCACACCAGATCTTCCAATTAAACGCACTGCCATCTATCTGTAGGTCGGTTTGTATATAAAATGCACTGTCAAAAAAAAAGAAGCACCAGAAAAGACCAGCCTAAATTTACTTTTTTAAAAAAGGAAAATAAGTTAGACAAGCAAGAAATAAACCTTTCTGAAGTGAACAAAAAAAGTATGTTGTCATCAGAAACTTTTTTCCTTCAAAAAAATACAGAATTAAACTTATGCCCAAATAGTAATCAAACATACATCTCAATAATCACTGAATAGAAATCTCAAATGAATTTCAATGAAGTAAATAGAACTGTTGCTACTTCTGCTGTTTTCTAGGACTAGATACTGCAAACTTCGCAATTACCTGAAATAGAATTGTAATATAAAACTATATGAAAAATTACAGATGTTTTGCGAAACACCTAAGGATTCCTCCGTGCGAAACCTTGCTTGACACATAAATAAGCCGAAAATAATAATCCTTTCACCAGTCGAAAAGAAAGTGCTAACTTGTCGTCCGTTAATGTAATGATTTCGTTGTTGTACAGCCTTTACTGCGCCGTCAATGCTCTCAAAAACAACAAAGGCAAAACCCCTGTGCAAACCTGTTCCCCAATCCTGAAAGATTAACTAATGAAGAGTGCAGAAGACCCTGTCCCTTGAATTATGATAAAATAAGCATTCCAGACTTCAATTTTAAATGTCAGTTATGAACAAAAAGAAAAACGAAAACTAACATATAACAATTTGACGTGTTGCACTTTACCAAAACGACCAAAATGGAATTTCAAATCTTCTACAAATAAATAATCAGAGTCTTCAAAATCTTCAAAACCGCATTTCAATTCTTGAGAATTGAGTAAAACAACACCTTTAAACAGCTGCTTTTAAACTCAAGATTTTACCCTTCGACAAAAATTCGTTACAAATAATAATTTCAAATTTAAGGTAACAAACTTTCACCGGTGAACCAACTGACGTTTTTCAATATGACACGAGCTGATACCTGCAACGTTGAGAAATCTGTTGAAAATACTCGTACCAAAGTCCACAGTCCCACATGCATCCAACAACTATTCAGCGAGTCCACCTCACAATCGTTTTATTATTATTATGTATTTCGTTAAAAATTTGTTCTAATTAAAAAACGCAAAGATTTGACGATTATTATATTTGAAGATAAGCACTTTTCTCCTTTTTAAAAAATATATTAACCCACCGATAACAATCAGTCCCGGTATCCTCTGCGAAAGCTATCCCTATACAAAATGAAATATAACATAACATAATGAAATTGATATACGAGGTTGACAAACAAACGAAATAAATTGTTATACGAAACAAAGAGGCATTTATGAACATAGTTTTATAGTGACAGTAGTTAACGATTATAAATCCCCCCTCCCCCCCCCTATTACTTTTTCTACAAATCTTTAAAACTCCAAATTTGTTGTAAATATCGATCTCAGGCTACGTAAAAACAGTATAACTATAAACAAAGTAGCCGTTTAAAAAATGAGAACCATAAACTTGTATTTGTAAATAAAAACACATACAACAAAAAGTATGCTATAGGTGAGAAATATGAGCAAGCTAAAACCAGTAAGAAGCTTATATGCCCTCAGTAAACATTATTGGCAATTGATAAGCTTCGTAAGAATGTTCCTCTAAATGACTTCTATCGTGCAACACACCAATGTAATCAATTTCAAGCGAAAAATCTCCATCAATCCTATCCATCAACATTATCATTAATGAGCTGAAAATAAGATGTTGAGTACCAGCAAAAGCAAGCACGTTGAATGTGAAAGCACCTGAATCCTTATACAGAAAATTGTGAAAAGCCAAGTTTCATGAGTTTCAAGAACAAAATCATTCAATAACCCAATAAATAAAGACTGCCATATATATGTATATATAGGTTAACGAATTTAAATTTCGAATCATACAAACAAAATATTATGAGTGGGGTTTGAAGTTTAGCGTGGTAAAAAAAAGCAGTTCTAGTATAGAAGCAATTTTTTTCGCTTTTATTCTGTTCACGCTGGTCAACTGAAGATGAGCAGCATGAACAAAACAACAGCAGAATACCGCGTTTGTAAGGTTTTGAAAACCTCACATGTTAAGTAGACTGTGGAAATACATAACGATATGGATAGTGAATAATATTTTTCCATATTTTCTTAATTCTCAGTTTAATCTGCTCTGGATCACAAATTTGTATTTCATACCTGACATTAATATTATTTATTGGATACTGTTTATCCATGATTCGGTTGCGTACAGTATGAATAAACTTCGAGAACGGAATTACTTCATATTGCCAGTAGGGGCCTCCATGAGTATGCAAATAATAACTATGGGCGTCACCCCAGGTAACATCAAACAAAAGCGGTGAATTCAATGAAATTTTATACGTACGTCCATCACCACGGCACTAAAATATAAATCTTCTGCAACTACATTCTTTAAGATTACAAATGATACGATAAACTAGAAAAAAAGTTTATTTTCTTTAAAAATTCTAAGAAACAGCAACCTGATGTATGAAAAAAAAACTTCCAAAGAATCAAAATAATTCAAAGAAATGTAAGCTGAAGTATAATCCTACCTTTATAAGGAAATGAGAATAGTTTGACCAACTACTAAAATATCTTTTCTTCAAAAAAGGTCCCCTATTTTCGAATTTGATGGCTGCCCATCCTGCTCGTTCAATTCGTCCATCCTTTAAAAAAAATGATATTGCAACTTTAAATGTTCACTTAAAATATCAAAGTGTACAAATATCGAAATATTTAAACAACAAAACAGCAAAAAAATGCATCAAATAACCTTTATTAGCTCTGTACTTAATGTACCTCTGAATAAGGCCGTTTTTCGGTCGGTAGGTATAAATTCACATTTTGAAAATCCTTCATTACTATCGGAATCAGCACCACACCGCCAAAATTTAAATGACTGAAAAATATATGTAGAATTTACACCTCTCATTACAAATGTCTCAGTTTGTGAGCAACAAAGCGCGCTTTGTATAAATGCTTTAATTATCATGTATATCAAGACAATATCAAACCGAAATGACCACCTCTAGTGTTTTGAACGAAATATCTTTGCGGAACTGTCCATGTCGGAGATTGCCCAAATCCTCAAGAATTTTTGGTTTGTAGATTCCAAAATTACCTACCGTCTCTTTAGCTACTTCCTGAATGAGGAAAATTAATTTCAAAATTGATGAAAGCTAAGCAACACAGGTGCATTTCAAGGCTGATGATACTCGACATGACTGGTGGATATTATCGTCTCCAACTGTACCGGTAAATAGGAGACTGAACCTCGTGAACTGCTAAAGCAATCATCAGCAATGATATTCGAACTCTGTATTTATAAAGACTCCTCTATTTTGCCCTAATTCTATTCTGTATTTTATCAAAACCGTGAAGAAGAAATCTTTGAGTCTGTTGCCAAAACTAACCACAGCATTGTTCCACAAAAAACCAGGCATTTCTGTAACAATATCCTTGAGCTCTGCATGAGGATCAAAATCAGGTCTCATATATTTGTTCGGATAACTGAGATTATTCGGTTCCACAATATCTCTGCGAAACAGTGAACGTATTTTCCTCTCCAACTTGCCTTGTATTTCCATCACTGACTAAAATTTACTCCAAAGAATCTATACAAAAATCTCATCTCAATATTCTCAAAACAAGAAGCTGCAATGAAAAAAACCATTATTTCAATTTTTAAATGATGGATCAAAGTTACTTTTCTCTCATCATTCAATGGCAATCTAGATTCTTGAAGAAAAAATATTGTAACAGGTCTGCTGCCGCAGTACAAATTGGTCCAAGCCGTGATACCTCTACATAACATCACTAAGAGATCAGTTGTCAAGAGATCACAGCGAGAGCACTGAAAACATAAATGATTACTTTACCCTTCTCATCTGTTTCAAAAAGTACTTTTTTAACAATTGCTCCCTATAGTAGTGAGATAATGAACTATGAGAACCTTTTCTTAGCGGCAGACCTGAAAATGAATAGCAAGTAAAACCCTGACAAAACGTCAATCTATAAATCAAAACCATTGTACTGAAATAACTTCGTTTACAGTTCCACTAATTGAATTTACTTAACATTAGCTTTATACCTATTACATAAAGTTTTATAGCCTTGACATTGGAGACATTTTCTTTAAGAAAACGATATTAGAACTTCTTTAGACTGCCATATCACATTGGAAATAGATAAAGCACGGACTTAAAAAGACCTACTACTACTATTATCATTTTTCTATTAAAAAACATGATCTTAAAGGATTTCAAACTTGATAATGATGGAAAATGAGGAATAGTTAAATCTAAAATAAGATGACAAATATTTTAAATTAGGTGCTCAGATCCAACATAGTACAAAACAAAAGATGAACAAGGAATTTTTAACTGTGAACAAAAATCAAAATTGCAACTAATATACAACAAAATAAGCATCATTCCGTATTTGTCAAAACAGCGCGATGATTTTGGGTTTTCACAGTTATGTAACATAGTGATTCTTGGGGAGATGAAAAAATAACGATAATTAACGAATTCCACGAAGCATATGAGATCATTCTTCGAAGAGCGTTATCAACAGTTACGAGAGGTCTCTCATCTACTTTCATTTTCAATCTTCCTGTATCAATATCCACCATGACAACATTATGTGAAATCATTTCTTCACTGACACGCTTTACCAACTCGTCCAGCGAATTACAATCATTGGTATTCACATACATTTCGCTAGAAAATAGATGTGTTCTTATGAAACTTCAAATTTTTGCGACAAGCAAGTTCTATTCAAAGAATCTGTTAGCCTTTCTTCGAAAAGTCTCACGTGAAATATTAGTTTTTTTAAGATATAAGACAAACTGTTTATTGTTTGCGTTCTCTTTGATGCTACCAGGAATGGCATAAAAAGCACTTTTGCCTCTGTCGAGTTGGAGAAAATGCAAAATAGGCTCATAGCTACCAGCACAAGTTTGGAATGCATCACTGAAATGATTATTAATGGGTCATTTAATAAGTGGAAACTGCACTGAAATTTAAGCATATTAGTTGTGACTGCAGAAGAATGTAAAATCTCAAATAGAAATTCCATTCTGGAATTGATGCTGTCCTGGAGATTAGTGAGTTTAAATAATAAAACTAAAAGCACTCATCTCCAAATCAAGGCTGGTTGTTCTTCGCTCGACATTTGTGGTGGTACAGAATTTAAACAGCATATCACGCAGTACTTCACGACATTTTCCTTGCATGCGCAAGAAGGAACAATGCAAGCAACAGACAACGGCCTACCACATCTGTCACAAGTCCGTGCTATATTTTTCTGTAAACAACAATTTTTCCCTTTATTCTAACCAGCAAACACGAAGAGTCCCAGACTGATTTACTTCTGAAAAAGCCGAAATATCTTTCATGCACTAAATGATATAATAAAGGCCAAAAGACTCTGAACCTTGCCTCAATTGATAATTCTGATAATCTGCGTGGATTACAAAAACATTAAAAAAAGCAAAACAGTTGCCTTTTGAAAATGGATTCCAAAAACTTGGTTTTTGGAAGAAACAAATTAAGACAATATCTTCAAAGAACCTACAACATCCAGGCATCGTTTCTTTCGTTGTGGTTCTTGATTAACGCGAGCTTCTGTACATAAATCTTTACTTTTACTAATGCGCGCTCCAGAATTAGTTAAGCCATTTTCACGAGCCCAGTCATCAAAACTCCATCCCAAAGCAACATTCCCGAAATGAACTCTAAATTTTTCTGAATTGTATGGTAAAAATAAACAATTAATACAAAGCCGATGCTTGACTTTAATACCATAAAAAACATTATTAAGGAATGGTATAATAATTACCCATGAGAAAGCTTGTATTTCAGTAGTCGCATAGTAATAACAGCATCATCAACAGAGCAATGTCCATTTTCCCCTTGAATTTCTTCATTCAGAAATATTCTCGCCAAAGTCTATAAATCATCCAAGTATATTTTGTAAAAGAGTGTGTGACAAAATGAATCCATAAATGTTTTCTTCAAAAAACGTTATTACGTTATAAAGTTTTCATAATTGTATGTTTAGCTTTTACATTTTATTAAAAACAACTGCAATACATTTTAGAAGCCATTGTAAAAGAAAGAATTAAATTGAGAGTTTTCAAGTAAGTCATTTCACAAAAATACTATGCAATAATCAAATCCATTGGAGTTACAATATGAAAAATGTAGCGAAAGAATAACCACGTAAGATTTGAATAGGAAATTACCTTTAGAGATGATCGTTGTCGGTCTTTACCAGATAAATTTAAACAGAGAGATATATCAACACAATATGGATGTGTGATACGCATTGCATTGAAGTCGCATTCAAGAGTATGCCCAACCAAAATTGCATCGTTTGGCAAAATGTGCGATAAAGCTTTCTGAAAATTTACTGTTTTCAATTTATACATTTTTGATCCTTTAGGTTTTGATAAGATTTGAGTGAAAGATGATAAAAGAAACTTATGATTCCAGATAAAGTGCAACTGATTGTTATTTTTTATCAAAAGTTGTAAAAAAGAAGGAAATTTTTGTAGTCCTATCATTAGCCTCATGTTTACATGCTCTCTCAGACTGAAACTTGAATAGGTGAAAGAAAGTTCGCGGAAAAGCGATTCTGTACTAACATGATGCAAGCAATACTTGCGGATGCGTTGAAGACATTAATTGATGTGCCTTGCAGAATTATGAGAATGGTGAGTTGCATACAAAATTGTTCCACATAGAAGGGGATATACTGTTTGTTCATAGTGAACAAACGTATTAATAGTAATGAAACTCTGCTTTAAGATGTGAAGAAAAAAGAGATGAAACTGACTTGTACATCCTCAACCCGCACATTCACATTTTCAAGCATCTTCTCAGTAATACCACTGTACTTCGTGACATAATCGACAATTCTATTTCTCGGTTTCACGAGTGTGTCCAACAAAACTTCATAACATTCGTTGACCTGAATGAAACAAAATATGCAATAGATTCTATTCAAGAAAGCCAAAGATCTTCATACTTCCGTTAAAAATTAAAAAATTACGTCATTTCAAACATACAATCGATATTCTGGTCAGTTCACTTTCCCCAGTTTCTGTGGTACACATTTCACAATCAACTGCAAAAAACGGTGAATCAGCTTTCACTGCACCATACCTCTCCTAAAATGATAACGCAGTATTAGAATGGAATTAAAATTTCTGCAAAAAAAAGTAAAGTAAAATAAAAAAGTAAAATAAGTAAAATACGTAAAATAAGGAATAAATAAAATAAGAATTGAGTCAAGGAATGTACTTTATAAATGAATTGATTTCTAAAATATAAAAGTGTAAAGTACATAGTGAAAACTTACTTTTGTTGGTATAACGGGCGTCAAGACTTCCAAGCAACCTGTTTTGGGGAACGGGTAACAAAAATCTACCATTTGTCGCAAAGTAACTAGTATTGCACCTTTCACATCAGATTTAATATGTTCCTCAAGAATATTAGTGTGCTGAAAAAGAAAAAACGAATACTCGAAGAAAAATTAAACTGTGAAACATCACTATAAAAAGGGAATGGAAAAAAGTTCTCATTATTCAACTTCGAACATTGTGCGTTTTGTCCATACCGGTCATAAAAAATGACTAAAGATCAGAGCAAGAGATATTATTCACTGCTTGCGAGACATCATGCGTAAAAAAGAGAAACATAAGCAGTAACCATGCATAAATTCAATTCAAAAGGTTCACAGTACTTACGTTGACAATTCTTTTTAAACGTTCAAACTTTGAAAGAGGGACATTAAGCATGCTTGTCCAAAACTCCATACTGTTCCAAACCTCCGTCTGCATTCTAATGAAAGATTTTGAGCCGAATAGTTCATCGATGTATGTATCTTTCTTGTTAGTTTCCTGAAAAATGCTTTAAATGTTGTACATTATAACTTCCTATTTAACCATATAAGAAATCGTAAGTTTCCAGCAACCTGAGAAAGACAGATGATATTTAATTTCCCGGAATTAACTTACTACCATTTCGAGATCACACTCGATTCGAAAAGTGACTGTTTGCAGTATTCCACGACTTGGTCTTAATGATATCCAAAGAGGTTTATCAATACTGTGGAATGACACGTAATGCACCAATTCAGCGATATCTACAAATACGTTGATTATACGAAATTTTAGCAGTACGTTACAATATACGTTATGTACATACAATGACGGAAACTTACTCCGACTTCCAAGCCTCACACCGTTCAGCCTATTTAAACTAAGCCTGATTTTTGGAGGATCTTTCAAATGTCGCATGGTCCGCAGTTTTTCATAGAGTTTCAAAGAAATATCTTTGTCTGAAACAATATTTTTAAATTTCTTTACAACACACATTCCATCCTAAAAAGTATTACTAAATATTTGAAATTTCATATGAATAGCAATTAAAGTCGATGAAGACAATTCTTTCGCATGAACGTTGATACTGCTGATCCAGAAAAAAATATAAACTTATAAAAAAAAAGGCAATATGAACTGACAAAACTACCAACCATCAAATGAATGCCCAAGGGATGTCATTATTGTTAGGTCTACTGCTGTAGGATCATCACCAGAAAGTAACAACACTTCATTAATATTCTTCTTCAGTCTTTTCAGTTTTCTTTTCTCCTTATTATCTGGCACTTTAAACATGCAAAAGCAATCTTATAAATAAACTTTCCGCAATCTGAAACATCTATTTATTATAATACATATTAAAAGCAAGAAAATATGCAAATATACGAATATAACAAAAGCTGTACAAATTTGACGAATTCAAAAAAAAAACAGCGTGAAATGCAAAAAATAAGCTGAAATCACAATATCAAAAGTGTATAAATAAAATCTTCTTAGTAAATAGAGTTTCAACCTAAATAATAATATCATATTTTTGGAAACGGAAATCTTTAAATGCATCAAGTAGAAATATTTGAAACCAAAATTCAAGAAGGCAAGATCAAGGAGGTCAAAATTACTAAAACCTCCTAAAAGCAGACTTCGAAACTTGAAAACATATTGAGACAGAATTTTGGAAACCTTTCGCACCGTCTTCACCCCATCTTTGGTTTTTTGATGCAAGCCAACAATAGAAGTTTATGACCCACATAATCAGTAATTGATGAGATGGGCATATAATGAATAGATTTCGGTTCAGTAATAGTTAAGATCCAACACCATCTTCGCTATCACTTCTATCAGGTTCGGTGTCATCATCTTTGACAAGTTCCAGCACATGTTTTACAGGCTCTAAATGTCCATCTTTCCCAATCTGTCCTGGAGTTATCAGTCCTTGATTCATAAGCTTATTAATATCATTCATCAACCGATGCACCTCGTACTCCTTCTGCTCCTCGGTCATTCCAGTAAACGGATTTTCTACAGCAGGATCAATGCAACCAGTTACTGGATTTACCTGCGTTTCAACTGCTTTATAATCTTCTGTTTCTGAAGCCTCACTATCCGAATGATGTTTCGGGGTATTCAGAGCATTCAGGATACCGCGATTAGCCAACAAACCAGCTGCATGCCCGAAACCACAATATTTAACAAAACGATTAACACTTTTCTTACATAAGATGAAAATGAATTCAGCTGCCAAGTCCTGAATATTCGAAATGCTCATCATCAAACGAATCATACGATTACGCAATTCAATACCGTCATCCGGTCGTCGTTCAACATCGGTAGCATGAAGTGGTGGAATAACCAGTAAACGTAAATAACGGCGTGCTTCTTTCACTTGAGAACTTAACCGTATCAAAACGGTTAAAAAGGTACCGAGGAGCTCGTTTTTTTCATTATTTTCTGCTTCCAGACGTCGTTCCAGCGCATGAAGTACAGCATTTGCAAAAGTCATGTCACGTCCGCCATGGATTACATTTGTGTCTTTTTTCTCTGTATGCTGTATTTTCGGTGTTAGCAATTCGAAGGACAGTGGAAATACTGCAATTACATCTACCGCGGATTGCTCAAGAGATGGGTCAATGTTTTCTAAGGTGACAATTTTTGAGCATAATAACATGCATTGTTTTGCATTTGATTCCACAGAATCGTCCCGTGAATAGCAAAATATATTAAATAAGATTTTTAACGCCCAATTCGTATGTTCTGCAAAACTTCTCCATCGCGAATTCTGTTTCAGTCGTTCCGGAAAGTGTAAACTCTGTTCCAATATTTTCAAGAAAACCTCACACCCATCTTTTAACCAGTACAACTGCAAATCTTTAGATTGTGCGCTTGCGACAAACGCAATACGGAGGTCGTAAAAAGCAACCAAATCTATTTGTTCATTATTCAAAAATTCCACTAAGGATTCAAAAATTTTCGGTTTTGCAGAAATGCCAATATCCTTTTCAGTAGCCCGAATGTCATCATTGTTCCGCTGTTTAGAAGAACTTCTTGAAGTCTCACTCAAGAGTCTAATTCGACTAAGCAGCAGATCCGAAGCAATTTCATTAAATTCATCTCTCGCAAGTTTACTGTTAAAGAGTATATTGATGAGACACATTTCAGCCTGGATGAATGACTCCCAATCAAATTCAAAAAGCCGCTCAGTCAGGAGACCAACACCAAGTACATCTTGTACCAAACCGGAAGACAGTAGCTGATCCAAATTTTGCTTATCTCGTGCTAAAATCCGCAAAAAGCGAAGGATCTGTTGACGAATTGTCGACGATTCTTGAAAACGCTCGCGGAAAACGGCCTGTATCCGACGCCTACTATCGACGTCAACATTGCTAAATGTATGATATTGTTCAAAACTATCATTAATTCGTTTTAGACATTTGACGAAATCATCAGTCGATGAATTCTGCCACTGTACCAAATCGCTTTCAGATATATCGTCGGCCATCGTCCGCAATGTTAAAAGGTAGTATGCGAAAATATAGCTTGCGTAATATTGATCAATTCTCCAATTCTCTAAACATAAACTTGTCAATAAATATATCATTTAGTTTGTTGATTTAACATATACCCCAATGCAATACTAAATCGACCGTTAAAAAATAACCGTTAATAAACGATGAGAGAGAAGTATTCGAATTTTACATCATCTCACAGCCACATTCACTCTCTTTTACCAATCTACTTATCGCTTTCTTGTTCTTCGTTCTCGCTCTCAATGGTTTTAAAGTATTTCCTAATTACTTATTTGAAACATAATGACCTGAACTTGACTTCGAGAAAAGAATAAGAAATATCTTATACGAGTAGAGCAGAGAAAGCACTTCGACAACTACCACGCATCCACTCCTTCCTCCACTTCTTCGCTACACATTCAACAACCACAAGTGTTGGTTCAGCTTCGCGTTGCAAAAAATCAAAACGAAATATCTGTGATTGGTGTGGTCCTCTTTTTCTGCATACTATTTTGCGTTTGTCATTTGTCATGTGGCTGATTTTTAAATGTCATGATATAAGAAATGTGAAGTTTTTAAGCTATCACCTTAAATGATGGGGATTTGTATGAATGAATTCATGTGACGCCAAATGTGACATTTTGTTCCGTCGAACAGTCCTCCTGTACCCTCAACAGGATGCACACTGCCTATCATGCTGACTTCAAACCATTTAAGGGTTATATACTATCCGTTGGACGCGTGGTGTTAAGTAATGGCAATTTTCCGGCGATTTATACGGTATGTAATGTTTTATTGCTTCATTCATCGTTTTTAGTTATTTCCTTCCCGGAGTTGAACACTTCCAGAGCAGAGATGGCTCAATAGGCAAAGCGGTAGAGATGCATCATTTGATTGCACGTCCGAATTCGATTCTTTCACTACTGCAAAATCAAATCTATAAAGAATAATTCCAAAATTGCCCTTCTTCTGAACATCATAGTTCCACCATTTCCAACAGAATCGCCTGCTTCCGTCGTTTCGCTAATTGAATAAGAAAACTGAAAATCAAATCCAGACTAGAAGAGACTGATGTTTGTTTTACGAAAAAAGAATCCATATGTACGTGACAACTTTTTCAGCAGTTTAGTCTTGGATACAACACCACCTGTCAACAGCATTAGTTTAACTAATTAGTGCAGTAAATTAGCAAAGAAAATAACTCTTCCTATATTGTAGTATCTCTAGCTGTCATCAGTTTGATCTTAAGGATTTTTGATATCTAAGGATGTTAATTACGTATTTAAATCTTTATTTAAACTTCCCAATAGAAACACTTCACTTCACTTTAAATTTTTATTTAAACTTCCCAATAGAAACACTTCATTGCACTCCACTTAGTTAATTACGTATTTAAATTTCAGAAGACGTTTGTTTTCTTTTTTAATTTAGCAAATAGTTTGGTATTGGGAAATAATATTTAAAGAATCAGAAACGTAAATAATAATTATATTAGAGCAATAATTATATTAGACGGAACCTTTTTCTGGCAATGGAGTATTTCGATTACTATTTTTTATTCATAAACGATTCGTACTTATGCAAAGTTGTGGAACATTGGGTATTTTTTGATGGAAATGAAGTTTGATTCAACTGAAACAGTAGTCATATTGCATCAACTTTTTAGTAGATTTTCAATACAGAAACACTTCATTGCACTCCACTTAGTTAATTACGTATTTAAATTTCAGAAGACGTTTGTTTTCTTTTTTAATTTAGCAAATAGTTTGGTATTGGGAAATAATATTTAAAGAATCAGAAACGTAAATAATCACTCTTGTAATCCACGACATTTGATTTAACCAAACTTCATTAATCATTCTTAAGTAATTTGTTTAGTTAATAGAATGCGGTGCTCATTATAGCTCACTAAATATGTATGAACAGTTTATGCAAACATTAGAAAGTGTGATCTAGAAGGCAGTGTGCTTCCGTTTCAGTTTTCATGAATTTTTTCACGAAAATTGTTGGTTAAAACGAAGCACATTAAAAAAAGTTCAAAAACTGGAAAAAATGATGTGCTCCAAGACTCTCTGTTTAATTGTATACTTAGTTTTGGTAAAATTTTATTTGAAAAAGATTGGCTCATTATAATTTGTGAGGTTAATAGAAAGTTGTCTTACTTATTTCGTGATGTTTCGTTTGGAAAATATACGAGCATTGTTCCAATGTACAAACAAACTATTTGAATTTATTTGAGCTATAAGAAAAGCTGTAAGAGCTATTGAGTTTTAACATAAGGGAATCTTGCAATGCTGATTCAAATCATTAATGGAGTTTTGCGTGCAATGAATAATATTTACCTTTCCCAGCTAAGTTGTACATGAAAGGCAGATTACGCTATCTTCCTACAAGAGTTTCAAATTTAATGATACGTATTTTGATGTTTAGAAATAGTGAATTTTGAGAAAATTAAAGCAGATTTCTTATATAATTGATTTTCAATCTACGCTAACGTATAGCTCCAATGTTCATGCAGGAAAAGTAAGATATTGTTGCTAAAAGTTCTATCAATACAGATGTTTGTATTGTTTCTAATTATGTTGGACTTTTGGAAATTCTCTTTTACCGACATCCACTGCTCTATGTTGACGAAAACGACGGTCGAAACGTGCTAGTAAGCAAGCATCCAAGCTTTCTAAAATTACAAAAATTCCATTCTTAGTAAAACTATAATAGAAATTGTGGTTTTGCATTATGGTTTTGTACAGATTTGACATATATAAAAGTAGAAGTAATGTGCCGTTATTACACCATTATAGATGTTTTACGTGTTCTAAAACCTTTTTTATAGAAAAACTAATAGTTGATTTAATGGAATTTTTTTGTCGTTCCTTATATTTTTCCTATATATAAATATATTTTCTTATATATTTCGCGAAATTATATTGGAAGGAAGATAAGATTTAACAGAGTATAATTATTTGTTTCGTTAGCTACTGCTTATTTGCAGTCACGATTAGTACATGAAACAGTGTTCAAAATAATTCAACTAATCCGCTTCACTGTATGCAGCGTATTCCCAGACATCTTTTAGAAATTAAAAAGATAGGTAATAAAATGGTTCTCTTTCTTTTAAATCAATTTTTTATAATGTTTTTAACATTAAAGAAGTGTCAACAACTTCTTTTCTCAGTCTTTGCTGTATTTTATGAGTATGTAGAAATCACATAGATGATAAACCTGAAATTAAGTGATTCTGTTAATTTTTACCAATTTTCATGCATTACATGATTCTTCTATTAGTTTTATTTTTTGTTGTGTAATGTATTGTTATTTTTAGTTATTTGCAGGACTGGAATAAAAGTTAGTGCAGTGGTGGCGTTGGTGAAAGTTTCTTATCGTTTTGATATTTGGTCTTTAGACTCGGATCAAGGAGCACAGAAACTTACAGTCCTAAAAGAAACCGTCGTCCCAGGGACCATTGTTTTTCCAAAGGAGGTTAGTATTTTTTAACATCGGATATGTTTTTATCTCTGTGTAACTATTTAGAGGGTTAAATTGCTATAATGACGTAGTTATATTTTATCTTTTCTTGGTAGCCTTGTTTTTTTTCTTTTGTAAAGTTCTATTTTGTGTGATTTTCCTTGTTGTCTTCTTTTGCAGATACTACCGTGGGTGGAGAACCGTTCATGGCTTAGTGTGAAATGGAATAGTACGTTAGACAGAGCATTTTCTTTAGTCAGATGGCCAGATTCTTGAATTTCCTTTTCTTTGAGATGCAACTCTGTATGGTGAATATGGATTTACTAATTGAGCTAAATAGGGCAACGGTAGTTTTATATAGCTTAAGAGCTAATGTCGAATTTCATTGTGCACATTTAAACTTTCTGAGATAACTTTATCTTTAGCAGCACTGTTCCACGTAGTACTGTACATGTTTCTGTAACATATATTTCCTGTGATTGTAATGCTTTTAGCATTCGTTCATTTGAGCACAACAGTAAAAACTGGCAACTGTCAACAGTGCTGATAGAGCCGCTTCTTCAAGTTCTTAATTCAATAATCTTCAACCACTATGCAATTAAATCATATACGGCACTGATGTTTAGTCATCAGTGGATCTAATAAATAGCGGGAGAGCTGTATGCACACCGAATTGCAATTGCATGACGAGTGTGGCACAACAGTGTCCAAACTGTTAGATGCTTGGAATATTGCAATTTATTTCGGCTATAGGAAACGCTATTCTCAAAGCACTATAAGAATTTTAACTAGTACCAGTCTTAAGCGTATAGAGAATAGTGTTTGCTAAGGAACTTCGCTTGCAAGGGTAGATAGCGTGTTGGGATTTGAGTAAGGTCTCTACCGGATTTTGACCGATGATAATCATCATTACTATGTCTCTACCCCACATCTCTGTTTAGGAAGATACATTAAATCTCAAGATTGTTTTGTCCATTTCTAAGCCTTCGTACATATTACTGGTTGACCTATGATTAAGGTTATTGCTTGTGTCGCACTCCTGCTAGTAGATACATCAGTAAAGCTCCTGCCTAGTTGACAAACACCCCATCGGAGTTTTAGTCGTTTCTCATGCCAAAAAAGCTGCCTTGTAAGTAGGGCTTCTTATGCATTAGCTTCTTTCTCCACTCCAAAAATACTTATAAAATACTTACAATTATATAACGCAGGCAGTTGTTTTCCTGAAGAAACTGCTTAACAAACAGGAAAAGTAATTGAATAGACGGGCCTTCCAGAAAATCAATCATCAAGAATTTCAAGTCCTTATCGAGGGCAAAACAATCATTTTCTCCAGAAGATTAGTAAATTGTAGGGCATTGGTATCAAGCAATACATATCCACGAATGGAGCTTAATGTGGTCTACTGAAATGGTTCCAACAAATCACATTAAGTTCCGTTCCTCGATACGTTCAACTCACACATCAAACAATATATGTATATCTGCTTTTGCATGTAAATACGAACTGTTTTAGGCGGTTGTTCGCATTTATCTCACAAACCTTTCGTTTTTCACCGGGGGAAAATTGAATCAAATGTTCTATTCAAGCTAATTTTGTTCATCGATACTTTTTTCTCCAGCAGTGCATGCCACCCTCCGCATTCAACCAGTCATGGAACAAAGTGACTGTTTTCAAAGTCCATAATAGGAATCAGGATAAACTTCTTTGCGGAATCATCAACACTTTATTTTCTGTTTTACGACATGATCCGACTTATTTAAAACTTTTCTATACCACGCTATATAAACAACATATATATATATATATATGAAAACAATACAACAGGCGATGATAGTACGAGATGCCTAAGGGGACCGAATTCATAAAGGGATTCCATTTTTCCATGAAAAAATGAAGTGGATCAAATGCATATACAAACTCTAATAGATAATTTACGGGGAAAAACTAAACTGAAGTTCGAAGGAAAAACATATTAAAGGGCAGTAGTGTTCCTCATACTAGAAAAAAGAGAATTCAACGCCCAATTTTAGTGTAATTAATCAGTAGAAACGAGAAATACTTTCTGTCACAGTAAATTGCAAGTTCCGAAATAGGAGACACACAGTAGGAAACGATAGATAGTATTTATACATGTCCATGTGTTTGCTACGCCTATTCCCGCAATAAAATTAACTCAGTCCTCAATCATCTGGTGAAATCGAGCGCTTAATGGGATGGGATTTCCTCCGACGACCACTTTCCTGAAACTCAAATGTAAGAAACCTCCAGCACACATCATACAAATATAAATAAAGAAGGGTAAATGGGGAAAACAGTGCTTCCTCAGACAGTGTTAAATCATTAAACAAGAATCTTTACAATACAATCAAACTCACTTTATCGTCTTCAAAACTAGGACTACTTCGGGAACTTGTTACAGTAGATTCCTTTGAATCTTTTCCGGTATCTTTATTGGAACCTTTGCCTATATCCTTTGATTCTGAAAACGTCTTTCCCGTCTTCGATTCTGATAAGGAAAGAGATTTCGAAGTACTGGGCTGTTGCTCATCACCGGATATTTTGGTCCACAAAACTTCCAATAAAACCGAGTCGTTGAAGATTTCAGAACCATCTATGTTGTACTTCTGAAAGGGATGTGAGTTTGCATGTTTCTCGAATTAAATTTATCATAAAATAGATCTAGGAAATCTGCAACATAATCAGAAAGATCAAAAATAAATTGTAATACACGAAACTTACTCTTGCATTAGCACACAAAAGTCTGATATCATTCCCCATATCTTGCACGCTGTGATATTTGCCATCTTTAATTTTCCGCTTCACTTTATTAAGATCCATCGGTTTCTCGATGATTTCATAATAGTCCGGTAGCTCTCTTCGCGAAGGTAATTGTTCGAAAGCTGCCGCTAATTCTTTTCCACTGCTGAAAAATGAATTCATTCGAAGAAAAATATTTCGAAATGGGTCAAAAGTTATTGTAAAGTAGTAATTTAAAAACGAACAAAAATCATACCTCGTTTTATACTTTATTAAAGCCTCATAAAGCTTAGTGAGAAATAAAGTTATTTCAGGTGAAACTTTTCTCCGCTTGGGTGGTTCATCGTCGTCATCATCTGCAGAACAAGGGAAGAGTCATATATATTGGACAACTTGAAAATAAAAAAATGAAATTATTTATACATTTACCAATTTGGCGCCTCTTTCTTCCTTTATCTTTCTTTCCTTTCTTTCTTTTCTTCTCTTCTTCGTCATCGTCATCATCGTCATCTACATCCTCATCGATACTTTTTAGCCAATCACGATCCGACATCAAATCCTGAAATGGAGAATTGTAAGGATTATTTTAACAAATTCTGAACAATTTTCGAAATCAATTTCAAAAATAACCTGTGAATAATCAACTTCTTTCCGCTGCCGGCGTCCAACTGGTTCGAATGCAAGCTTTGATTTTTGTGGTTCCTTTTCCTCGTCAATGAAATGCTGTGAAGCTTTGACAATACCTTCCGGAATCTCACTATCTTCAATCAATCGAGGTTTGCGACGATATTCAGCGGCTTCTTGACGACGACGCTCAATATCCATTCTCTTAAACAAAATTTATGAAAAATGAATCCTGATTAATTGACAGGAATTTCAACAGCAAAACTGATCCGAATGTTAAATGATTCAAATGATTTACCTGAAACAAATCAAACTCATCTTCAGACCGCGCAACCATTTGATTGATAGTTTCATCATCTGGTACTTCATCTTCATCGTCATCTTCACTTTCTGCCCTAAAAAGATGTCGTGAAACACATTCTCTAACCCAAATTTATCCAAAAAGTAAAAAATCATACTAAAATTGAATTTAACAAGCGAAATTTCACCTGATAATTTGTTCCAGCATTTGCCGGCGTTCTGCACCTGTGGAACGTTGGTCAAATTTCCCCGCTTGAATAACTTTCTCATCTACATTCAATTTATATCGAGCTGCAGCCAGAATTTTTTCTTCGATACTATTCACGGTAACCAATCGCAAAACACGCACTTCACGAGATTGTCCAATACGGTGAGCTCGGTCTTGCGCTTGCATATCCTATATTTACATATCCTATACTTGCATATCCTAAACTTATGAAGGTTTTTGTAGCTCATCGGAAATAAAATAAGGCTAACTGAAATCAGGGTTTAATTATTGTGGTAACATTCTTTCTTTCACTTCTAGCGAAATAACGAATGTTCTCACCTGATGTGGATTCCAATCGGAATCAAAAATAATTACTGTATCCGCGGTCTGCAAATTCAAACCAAGACCACCTGCACGTGTTGATAACATAAATATGAAGTACTCGCTGTTTGGTGCATTATAGAGCTCCAACAGCTGCCCTCTCTCATCTGGTTTCGTGCTACCATCAAGTCGGAGATATTTGAATTCTGAAAGATGGTGGAAAACACAAATCCATCACCAACTTTAAACTTACTCGAAACCCTTACCTCTGTAATTGAGATAATCTTCCATGATTGTCATAAGTGATGTCATCTGACAAAACATGAGAATACGATGACCAGAAGCTTTTAGTTTCGGCAACACACGATCCAAAAGTTCAAATTTACCGCTTACACGATATAAGTCTTTTCTGAAATATCAGATGAACTTACAAAATTATACGTTCTTTGCAATATTCATCAAAATATTAAATAAAAAACTAACCCTGTAACATCTGGTACTTTCCAAAACTCACGGCATTCATCTTCAACATTTTCAAAAAGGAACGGATGATTGCAAAGTTTTCGAAGATGAACAACTGTGTTCATCAGAGCTCGCCCACCAGCCTACAAATATGTGATATTCTGGATCCTTAGCTGACTGCGCTCAGCAAACATTTTAAACAACATAATCTCTACTGCACAATAAGGATAATAAAACAAACATGTTTGCTATCGATAAGTAGGCCCTTCTGCATGTGCTGATAAAGCATTCTTTGAAGCGCACTCATATCGCATTTAATAACATACTCGGTTTTTTCCGGCAACTGACTTTCTACTTCCTTCTTCAAACGACGCAACAAAAATGGTCGTAACACCTTAAACCAACTGTTTTATTTCGAAAAGCATATGTTAACTGTAAACTACATTTTTACTGTATTTTTTAGATGCTAGATAATGAATAGATAGAGAAAAGTTTTTGAAGAAAATCATAAGGTCCCGAAATGAGCGAAGTAAAAATTTTAATGGCAAGGAGGCTTGAAAAAGGGTGCACAAAAATGATTTACTAAATCAGCGTCATAAATTCATGAGTCAATATAGTTAGATGTCATCAAAACCATATCCAAGAATACCTTGTGCAACCGCCTGATGATCAACATTGTTTCCTCCTGATTCAACTCTACTTTTTCACCAGTTG